CACCGTGTGTTCTAACGAGTACTTCAGTATACAGTTCATATGCACTTTTTTCGAAGAAGGAAGGAAGGAAAATAGGAGGAAAAGAACGGCAGGCAGGTGAACCAGCCTATAGGCAGCCGGTTTGCTACCCTGCGCAGGGGAGGGGGATGGGTGAGATGAAAGATAGATAGCAGAAAGGAATGAGAGACAAACACAGCACATTCGGCAGCACACGCGCGCACACTCAGTCATAGTCCAGTCTTGTCTTTCGCGGTGTGTGACATTGCTGTTACTGCCGCTTGAAGTTCAAGTCCATTTCGCGTAGGAATTTCAACGGAGCTTTTGTCGCCTTCTGTTGCAATGTCTTCTCTCGGGCACTTGACAGAATAGTGGCCATATATTTGGCTGTTGTCGATGCGCGCAAAAGAGCGCGTCGAGGAAGTGTTACACAAAACATGCTGCCTTAAAAATTTATTATATTCATGCGCGTAACTCCTTTCGTCTGAATGGCACGTCACGGTCGTTCTGCCGTATATGACAGAGACATAATGGAAAGACTCTCTGAGGCTCAGTTACTGACCCGTAGGTTGCGGTTTCAATCCCGGCAGTGGCAGTAGCCTTTAATATGGAAGCGAAATACGTGCACTTGTGCTGTGCGATGTGAGCGCTTCAGATGCAAAGTCATCGTGTGACGTCATCACACGATGACTTTGCATAACTCATATCGAGGCCTAGGCTTACGGTTACTCTTTGCGTTCGTTAAGGTATCTTAGGCTTTCGTTCGCCTTAATAAACTGTACATAAGTTGCATACGCAAATATACATGGCTTGCTGAAAGGTCACGACGCTGCAGGCCACGACTCGTCACTTCAGTGACAACGGGAGTGTTGAGGCGTCACCCACGTTTTCCCTAACACTGCGACCAATCAAGATCAGCAGAAGCGTGGGCACTTCTTTCGTCAAATCAACGTGTGAGTCACGACAAAGCAACCTTGATCCACGCCGAAAGGTCCAATCAATGAAAAGACACCGACTTCGCGTTAAAAAAAATAAAAATGACAGAGTAGAGGCGAATGATTGCGAGGAAAGTGACATGACTGCAACTTTCTGCTTTATGCGAAAAAAACAAGAAGAAGCCAAGGCGAAAACACGCTGCTTTTGACAATGCCGCTGCCTCATGTGGACTCATCGACTTTTACGCGCTCTGTTAGAAGAAAACATCGAACACGTACAGATCGCGTTCTCATTGGGGATCTACAGAGATCGATCGGGGGAAATTCGTAAACGTGCGCGCACATGTCCTCTTCGACGAAAGATTTGGAGAGAGCACTGACAAAAGCACCGCCAACGCTGAGCCTAGGTCGATCTCCAATTTACGCGACCGAAAGCTCCCCAGCCCGTCGAGAGAGGCATTATATACCGCCAGCATTACCCCGAGACCGTTGCACGCAAATTTACTTTCGGAGCTGCAGCAAAGACCGCGCCAGCCGTTTATTGTGAGATCGGTGCTCTCAGAGTAAAGCACCGTGATGTTATTGATCTTGCCCGTGCACGCGGCCAAGAGTTGCGTCTCGATTCTATATGTCTTATTACTATACTCGCTCAATTTTCAGTGCGTTTGATTTCCACGTAAAGGAAAGCGAACTTTCATAGCACCGACACCTCAAATAATCCTAAAATAACGACCACGAGATCAAAGAGGTGCCTCTAAAACCAATCCCGACCGAACCAAATAGAGTGACATAAAGAACGTCTCAAATAAAAATTATAGCGAACAGTAAAAACAATAAAACGTGTCAGCCTGTTTTATAGGAAATAAACAGCCGATTTGTGAGACATTTTTGTAGATTTTAGAAACTGAACAGCTGCACCTCATGAAATTGGGAAACATGCGACGTTTGTGTTGTTCTTGTTGAATAATTGTCGCTCACCCATTTCTCTTTATATATGTATACTTAAAGGTTGTTTGAGGCCACTGATTCTTGGTAATGTTCTTGAAAGAGAGAGAGAAAGTGAGTGAGTGAGTGAGTGGAAAGGGAAGCCGGTAGGCCAGAAATAATGTTACTGCTTCCCCTGTGCTCTGTCCTGTGTGCTTTCTTGTGATTTTGTTCTTTTACGGCTTAAAATCAATTATGAATGGAACAAAGCTTAGTGATAACTCTGGCGGGAGGAACGGTGAAAATCGATTATGATCTTTGTATATAGCTCACACCGGCGAAGAACGCACGTCCATTTCAATTGCATACGATCTTTGCAAATATATGCTTATTCTCCGAGTGAATCTATTTCTTTCATGTCGTAATTGTGGCAAAGGTGTCATTCCAAGGAAGCACTTTCTAAACTGCAGGCTCTAGGTGTCAATTCTTTTTCTTCTTCTTTGTCTCCTTCGTTAAGTTATTCAAGAAGAGAGGGAACAGTCCGCGACACTCGTCAATTTGCCGCAGCTCCTACTTAATCGGTATCTTTACAAAACCCGAAATCTTATACGTTTTCTTTCCGTGACGCTAAGTCCTCTCATTCCCACTTTTCTCAGCTTTATTTCATCTCCCGCCCTGAATTACGCCTCCTATTCAGAGCGTGCAGAAGATCCGTGCGATACGAGTGCCCCCTACCGCTGCATCGGTGCCGATAATTCCCCGCGGTGCCTGGAAAATTTCGCTTCCCTTTGTCTGCGGACTGTGACCTTCTCTAGACAGGCGCTCTCTTAAGGTAGAAGGTCTGCGGACGACAAATGGACGGAGCAGGCAGAAACGCGAATGGTGGTTTTGTTCCTCGCTCTGTCGCCTAGCGAATCTTTTCACCGTCGTTGCCGTCCTGCTCTCCGTGGGTCTTCCCCATCTCGCACCTTCATCACTCCATCACTATTCAAACGCCAACTTCTTTCCTTCTTTCTTTCTTTCTTTCTTTCTTTCTTTCTTTCTTTCTTTCTTTCTTTCTTTTTATTTATCTCTCTCTCTCTTTGGTATTGTCATGCTCAGCAAAAGACATCTTTTGGGAATCCCCCAGGTTTTGTCAAGCTGCCCTGTATTCGCAATGTTTCACGCTCTGGTGTTTTACCACCACCACCTCCGCTCTCTCTTTCTCTCTCTATCGCTCGCACGCTTTCCTTGTTGAAAATACAAAGAAGCAGTCTCCCTCTCGGGTATCTAGCATAGGACTCTAATGTACTCCAGTTAATCCCGGAAAGCTTAATGCTTTCTCCAGCACGGCCAACAACCAAGAGACCTTGTCATTCGCACAGAGAGCGGTGTATTACTCGGGTTTTACTTGCCCCTACCACTCTGGCTACTCTTCAGTGCATCTAGCTGGGCCGCTTGAACGTAACTGTCTAGTTGTCTCACCTGAACACAGCTATGAGGTGTGCATTATGAACTAATTTCATGTACCATGTTTCAACGGCGTAGCTGTTTAAGCCGATCACAGATCTGCGGCCGCAACGAGGCAGTCAGTGTCGGCCACCTGAGATTTTCAACACTTGAGGCGTCATCGCGTGCAGAAAGAAAATATGCTCGGGCAAGCCGAGACCAACCGTCACGCAACAGCCAAGGCCGACCACCAGAGGCATCGTTGACACATCACCAAGCTCTATGACGCCAAGTAGAAATCGCCATGGTCATGAACCGGCACGCGCACTCTTCATCCTCTTCGTATACATACTTCATCTTCTGCTTCGCTCCCCGTACACGTATGTCAATTTCACCATTACGGAGTTCAATGACTCAGATGGAAGAAAAAACTATATAGTGTGAAGAAAGAGAAAAGAAGAGAACAAGAAATTGAAAAAAAAATTGAAAGAAAGTTAAAGAGAGGTGTTCTTGAAAAAACTTTCTTGGTATGGCGAGACTAGAACGCACGTGCCCCGCATTAGAAGGCGAGCGCCTTCAATCCAGGCACGCTAGCAGACGCCAGCATAGTATGTTGCATAGTATGTAATAGCAAGAGGGTAAGCAACAGCGAGGATGAGAAGACAGGTAGTAGAGAGAGAGTAAGGCATAACATAGAATGAGGAAGAGAGCAACAGAGAGAAAGAATGGCAGGCAAGGAAAGAAGAAATAGACATATAGAAAGAAGAAGCTAGCGAGAACTATAGAAAGAAAAACAAGAAAAAAACAGACAGACAGACAGACAGACAGACAGACAGACAGACAGACAGACAGACAGACAGACAGACAGACAGACAGACAGATAGATATAGATAGATAGATAGATAGATAGATAGATAGATAGATAGATAGATAGATAGATAGATAGATAGATAGATAGATAGATAGATAGATAGATAGATAGATAGATAGATAGATAGATAGATAGATAGATAGATAGACAGACAGACAGACAGACAGACAGACAGACAGACAGACAGACAGACAGACGACAGACAGACAGACAGACAGACAGACAGATAGATAGATAGATAGATAGATAGATAGATAGATAGATAGATAGATAGATAGATAGATAGATAGATAGATAGATAGATAGATAGATAGATAGATAGATAGATAGATAGATAGATAGATAGATAGATAGATTAGATAGATAGATAGATAGATAGATAGATAGATAGATAGATAGATAGATAGATAGATAGATAGATAGATAGATAGATAGATAGATAGATAGATAGATAGATAGATAGATAGATAGATAGATAGTACGCTCAAAGGGGCATATTAGAAAATCTTTACATTTAAAATTCGCGCACTACTTATAGAAATCCCAGTGTTGGGTATGAGCCATCTTTTGTGGTGAAAAGGAAGAAGAACGCTCGATTTGATAAAGTATTATAAAGAATATATATTCCACATAACAAACGTTAATGATAACTATACAATTGATATTTATCCATTTGTACGTGAATTTATTCATTTCTTCGCCAATTCCTCAGAGTTGGCGCGAGCCACCGATGCAACTCATCATCATCATTTCCAGCTGCTGTCCAGCAAGGCTATACGTGGCAGACATTCGTCATGAAGTTTTCAGAGAGTAAGCTAAAGTCGGCGTTCCGCTTCATCACAGCGATGGCCTTGGGAAGCATCTTGCTCGCAGTTTGGCAGATGGAGACGAAAGCGGCACCACCGTCACTTCGGCCATCGGTGGAGCAGGCGCAGGCGCCACAAGCCATGCCATCGCGCATGAACGAGAGTGGTCCACTTCTTCCGTTTTCTCCATCAGCCGCGCCAGAAGGAGACAACGCAACAGTAAGTGCTTCCGACAAGTCGAGAAATGCGGCAAATGAGGGCTGTCCTTTCCGGGTCAGTTCACTGGACGGGCCAGCTGGAAACTCGTCATGGCATAGCGGAGGCTGGGCAGTCCGTCGACGTTGTAGCCAGTCACTGGATACCCTGTTCTTCGTGCACACTGCGCCGAGTCACTGGCAGAACCGAGCGCACCTGCGCGCCACTTTCTTCGAAGAGGCCGCCATGACCTATTTCAACTGGGCGGTCGTCTTTTTCATCGGGGAACAAGATGACCCCACTGTAAGTCTCTGGACAAAGCTCGAGGCGGAGGTGATGGGAGACATTGTGACGCTGGGGTACAACGACACCATACTCAGTCTGCTCCACAAGTTCGTCGGTGGAATGAGGTGGGTGCTCGAGTACTGTCCCAACGTGAGTAGCATAGTCAAAATGGACGATGACGTGGGCGTGCACCCATTCGAACTCCGCCGATACCTGCACGAGGAGCTTCCGCTCAAGAGCGGCGATTTGCACTGCTACGTTTGGTTGAGAAATACGGTGTACCGGGAGCCCCAAAGCAGGTTCTGCGTTCATGTGGAGGACTTGCCCCAGGACAATTATCCGTTGTTCTGTTCGGGTCGCTCCATCATCATGACGATTGACACGATGAGAAAGCTGTACAAGGCCTCCTCGATTGTGAAGCCCCAGCCCATAGACGACGCCTATGTGACCGGACAGCTCGCCCTTCTCGCCAACGTGGGACACGTGTTCATTAACGCCAGGATAGAATGGAGCGATTCGGATAAGACAGAACCGATGCTAGACGGGAAGTTCTTATTCACCCACGAGTACTTTGACTACGGGCTCTCCATTGAGCGCCGGGCACAGTGGGGATTGCTGCTGTGGCAGTACAGGATGGAGCACACTAATGACACGAATCATTTAGACTTGTCCGATCGGTTCTACAGCAACATGTACCGTCGGGACTTCGAGAACACGCGACGGTACCTGCAGGATGCGTCCGTGTTGTTGTGAACTTCCGAGTGATTTCGTTTCAACGATTGAGGGGTCACAAAAGGACGCACGCTTGCGTATAGCATGGACACGTTTTATGAGGGGAGTTGACGTCCTGCAAGTCAAGAACTTTGATTGGCGCGTGCTCGACCAGCACCCAAAACATATCGATTTCCGCAGAAAAAGAAAAGAAACATCGCGCCATAATTTTCGCTAGAATAATAATATCTACTGGAGCAAACATCAATAATTAGGTGTTCGTAGTAAATGTAGAGCACTTCTTAGTAGGCTCAAGTCAGTTGCAGTGTGTCTGTCAGCGCTTTGGTAGTCGTTTCGATAACTTCGTAATACCAAACTTGGATGACGCACATAATCAGATATAGGGGGCGTAGCCAGGCGGTGGCACACAGGGCACGTGCCCCCCCCCCCCCCCCCGAAATTTTTTCGCCATGGCATAGAGAGCGAAAAATGGCCATTTTAACAAGGTGCCCCTCCCGAAATCACAATGGTGCCCCCCCCCCCCCCCCCCGATAAAATTTCTGGCTACGCGCCTGATTAGAAGGTGATGGCATTAACGGAATGCCATACCTGCCCTGTAATTAGTGAATGGCGGAATTCCATCAGTACGCCATGGTGATTGTTTCATCACCTCAAAATATTCTAGAAAATTAATCGCGAGAAACAGGAATGTCAGGTTGAATATAGGAACATGTACGTGCGATATAATCGATGGAACAAGTTACATGATGCACATGTCGTGCAGCCGTCGTCGTCCATTCGGTACCGTGGTGTGAAGGATATTTCAACCAATGTGTACAAGAAATAAAAAAGGCAGGGAAAAGCGATATCAGCTCTTCTTTAAAGCAGAGCTGTTTGAGCCTGAAATAGCGTCGACTGCGTACTACTGGCGTAGTCGGAGAGATGGAAGCTAAGAGATGAGGAAAGCCGAGAATAGTTATGCAGTAGAAGATGTTGAGAATAGTACATTCATTGCAAACCACGCGGATAAGGAGGATTCATGTGAAGGTGGGAAGCCGCAAAGGAAGAAGAGAGAGAGAGTAACTGAGAATTCATTAGAAGACAAAGAGATCGGCCCGGTGAGCTAGTGCGCTTCAGCCTGCTACTCTACACAGGTGATAAGGGAAGAGAAAAAAAAATACAGGAATGAAAGTTGATTATGGGGACAGGAAGAGGTAATGCATATTCACTCTAGCCACTTATCACGGTGCCCTGCAGCTTAGTATGCAGTCCAGTGCTTTCGATGAAATACTAGAACAGCCCTTGCAGCAGTTTATGACACTGTTTGGTCGCACATTGCTGACAAAATGCAGCTCTCACTGTGGTCTTCATCGAAGCTAGTATCTTCCTCTGCGTCACGCATAATGGACAGTCACAAAATATATGGGCTAAAGTTTCACGAACTTGGCAGCGTTCACAGTTTGGGCTGTCCGCACGGCCGATTAGGCGCTCTTATAGCGTCGAGTGAAAGCCACGCCCAGACGAATCCGGTGTAGCGTGCACACTAGCATGTCTTCGGCTGATTTGTGCCTGAAGACGAAAAGGCATATCGGTGTCTGGAGGAGCGGAGAAGGTAAAGCATAGCATAGCCATGTATAGCAGAGAAAGCGGTGGGAAAACGAGAGAGTGAGGAGAATCGAAAAGAGCACGGGAATCATTGCATGGCCATGTGTAGTATAGAATAGCAAGGGGGTGGGAAAGGAGAGAGAGAGAAGAGAAAGAGAATGAGGTTAGAGAAGAAGAGGGGAAAGGGTATACAATTGTCATGAGCAGCAACGTATATCAAATGGTGAGAAAGAGAAGTGATCGAGGGTGAGAGGTGATAGGAGAGAGGGAAAAGGAGGGAGGTCATAGCATTGAGCAGCGGAAGCGAGTGGAGGGAGATGGCAAGTTAGAGGTTGCAGGCATGTATGTCAGAAACAAACTCCGCTGTTTGCTCAGTCTTCGCTCCACTACTGCGTAGCTTCTTCAGACTTTTTAGGCACCGAGTCATGCTCCCTACCGGGCTGCAGAATTTGGGCGCCTTCTTCTTCATCTAACCATCACCAACAGACTTCTTTATTCGGTGCTTTCAGGTGTGCGAGATCTTAGTTCACGACTGCGTTGCCAAAACTATGGTGATCAAAACATTCACGGTCAAGGTCCACGCCCTGAATACTGTGCGATAACTGTCGCACAGAGAGATATATAAACAGCGATGTGTTGTCATACAGGGAACACGAAGAGCAAATTATTCTCTCCACTTGTCATCTATTTAAAGAGCATCGCCCGTACGTTGACACGTTATCGCGATGAATTTGCCAGCGAAATACCACGTTTAGGTTTTCAAGAAACCGGACATAACCGCTGAGCAGGTTATCCAGCCGTTCTACCGAGGTCAGACCTTGTGGACGGGTTTCCGGCCGATCACTTCGTATCTGTGGAATTTTCGGGGCAGGATGAGGTCGTGACCCGAGGCCGACAGAGCGAGCGCTCTCAACAACCGACCGCGCGTTCCCAGGAGGCGGTAACGCGACTCCCTCGACGCCGGCGGCGCATCTGGCTTTCATCTCGGCCAACGCGCGACAGGCAAGGTCTCGCTCCCTCGGCGTCCTGCCGCCCTCGTGTCACACCACCGCAACCGCCAAGACCACGGCGGTCGCCCGTATATCGTGCACCTAGAAAGGGAGCCCGCAGACGAACGTTCCTCCTGCCACCCCCTTGCCATCGTCGAGAGCTGCAAGCAGCCAGCGATACGTGTACACGTACCAAAGCTCAGCGGGCCCGTAGCGTTATCTCGCCGCGGGAGTATTTCGTCAGCTCGTGGTTTACGGGAAAGATGACGCACGTGAGCCGGAAACCTCTGCCGAGAAACCAGGTTGCCACCCAGAGAGGACAGCACCCTGTTGATCGACGAAATGGTTGCGGTGAACTCATCTTTTATAAAGGTAGACAACAGCATTGGCATCGTCAAAGGATTCATTTCTGGATGTCTGCAACTTAGGCTTGATACTACTCGTCATAAGAACAACGTGTTTCTGGTACATATAAACACATCGAAACGCCGTTCTTTCGATTTCTCGCTTATAATTAATCGAGTAAACACCGAGCTCTCTTAGGCACACCATGCAACTGCAGCAATCCTATACATATTAGCTCTAGAGCTCGTAAGTTGTACTTTTTTTTTACAGCGTTTGCATGAACGCCCCAATCACTGCTGTAACGTAGAGGGCTTATTACATCCAGGAGAAACAGTCGCAACTCGTCATTACACCTAGAAACGCGAATGCATCTTAACTACACAAGAAGCGATACAAGAGGCGAGCTCGGTTTTCCTACAGTTCTTTCCGCGCGGAACGCGCCTCGAACACCGCCTGCACCTCACGCCCCCTGCCGTATCGCTTCCTGGTAAGCGAGACGGCACAGCAGTGGAGGCACGAGAAAGAAGCAAGATGCCGCCGCGCTGGCGTCGCCTCGCCGTCTCCCGCCTCCGCTTGGGCAGCGGCACCTTGCAACAGCCGGCCGCAAGTCGCACGCGTGGTTACCACAAGCGCGAGCTTGTCCGATGGGACACGCGCGCATGTAGTATAACCCTTCCCGCGCGCAAAAAAAAAATAAATAATAATAACAGCGCGAGCATTCGCAAGTCGCATGCAAAAACTCGGCCCGTCTCCCGGCGGTGGCGCCGACAACTGGCTTCCCTAATGGCGCTTTCGTGTCCGCCTTTAATTGCGGAAGCAACACAAAGCTCGCACGTTCCTGCAGCTTCCAAATTAAAGCGGCCGCGCGATCCCTCCCGCCGTTCGAGTCGCTTGTATCCGTATATACGAGCCGCTCGAAGCCAAAGCGCCAGGGCCGGCAGGACGCCGACTCACTCGTACACTTCCGTGTATGACGGCTCCCTTTGAAGGCAGGAAGGAGAAGGAACAGAAAGGGTTCGTGCGTTTGTACGCGCATTGCATGAGCAGTAAGTTGGGTGCATGGCACTGTGATGCGAGCTGCCACCATGTGGCATCTCATTTATATATATATATATATATATATATATATATATATATATATATATATATATATATATATATATATAGTATTGACTTGTTTACTCGTTTTTTTTTCTTTCTGCAACACATTAGGCCAGTGCTTATAACTTCCTAATGGAAGTGACACTTCGCGAGGCTGCAACTACGAGGCATATACTACACACACGAGGGACTTTAGACAGCTCTCTTAACGAACCAGTGCCCACCACACTGCTCGTGATTTTTTTTTTACCGGAATTAAAACGCTCGGCAATGAAGGACACTGACACTGCCGAAGCCACTGAATAGGCGTACGGGAAGCTTCTTTTTCCGGAGTTTCGCAAGAGCCTCGTCCGAATTTACGCGTGTTGCACAGAACTGAGACGGAAATTAGACGGTTGCGCAAGCGAACACACCTCAGTCGCGCTCGCGGAGCTTCACTCCCCGGCAATTTCGTTTCCCGAGCCAGCGCTGACGCGAGTTGGTGCTGCCCACCTTCGGGATCGGCTAAAACGCGCGCACTCAGTGAGGAACCGGTGTGCAGGGTCGAAGGGCTTCACGTCCGGAGCCAATCATCGCAGCTGCGGCTTTGTGACGGCGACACTCACCGGCTTCTTTCCTGCAACCCCCACCACCCTCATTTAGGCCTTACCCCGCACCCGCTACCCTGGTTTCTTCCGGCCCGTGATGTATGAAGGCGTAGGACATTAGCAAAATAATAAAGAACCAAAGAAGTCGGAGTGCAGAAGAGTTGCGGAGCAACCAGCGACTGACGAAGTGGCATTGCAGCCCCGCCGCGGTGGTCTAGTGGCTAAGGTACTCGGCTGCTGACCCGCAGGGCGCGGGTTCATATCCCGGCTGCGGCGGCTGCATTTCCAATGGAGGCGGAAATGTTGTAGGCCCGTGTGCTCAGATTTGGGTGCACGTTAAAGAACCCCAGGTAGTCTAAATTTCCGGAGCCCTCCACTACGGCGTCTCTCATAATCATATAGTGGTTTTGGGACG